ACGGAATCCACCAGAATGACTACTAGGCTCACTTAATTGTTAGGGGGTTTGACAGTTTTGCTTAATTTAGGTGAATTGAATAGACTCAATCCATAAATGAGTCCGCCATATTTAGTACTACAATTTCAAATACCAACTGCAGCTGCCAAAGACCCCTTCCACATAAAATCAGAACTTATAGGCATCAAGCCCTATGCTTTATTCCATATCGCTTCGAAAACAGAGCCCTCAGATACCTCAAGTCCTAGAAGTGCACAGTCCCTATAATGCAAACTTTGTTCCTTTACGACAGTTCTATCACATGAAGAAATGCCCTGACGCGGTTGCCATTCAGCTGATGTTCGCTCACCTTCAACTACCCCACAAGGAAGTGACGATCAAGAAGGACCAATGGCCGATCATTCGAGAGGAGATTCTCACCAAGAGGGTACCCGCTCTGCGTATCGAACGTCCAGACGGTGGCCTCACATGGCTCAACGAGTCCAAGGGTATTGTTCGTTGCATTGGTGCGGCCTATGACCTGCTCGGCAAGGATGAAATGGAGAAATACTATGTTGACAGGATGATAGGCAAGGTGATGAACAGAGGGATGTTGTGTTTGTTTTGAATGTTGACCTACTGGGTGTCCCAAAATTATTGGCACCTTTTTAACGTTAGAGAATTTATTTAAAATTAAGTATTCAGAAATAATGTCTATGTATTTTATGAAACAAGTCATAGGTTGTATACAGAATTGATCCACCTTTTCTGTTGTGTTTTCTAAGCACCAGGACTCTTCGCTATAGCCTAAGAAGCTACGTTAATATTAAGCGAAACTACATAATATGGAACGTTAAAAGCTTGTGTAAAAGTGAAAATCAACATTTTGTTCCCAAACATACCAATAACCGTGAGCTTATTAAATCGAAATAATCCCTTCTTCCGAGTTGCAAAACTACGAAAGTTTTAGCATCGTATCAAATAGGCAGTAAAGATGAATCTTTTGTACCTTTCTGTACCAAATATAACTGATCATATATAACTGACTACTGCATTTTTCCTAGTAGCCGCACAGATACTCAGGCAACAGCTAGCATACTGGTGTATATGAACTGCCCTAAACTCATTCTTCATGCATACTTTTTTGGAACTGTGCCAAAGCAATATTTTCCATTTAAGCGCGAATCGAAAGCCTTTCCAAAAATATTCATGAATTTCGATGTTTTCTATATTCTAATTATATACACTTGTCAGGTTTTGCTTCTGTTCATTCAAGGTCATAAATATAGCATGAAAGTTACTAAGTAGAAAAAATATTCCTACCTTCTTTTACCAGGATTGTTTGAATCAACCACAAAAAACATGCGTTTTTAAATTGCAGATTTAAAGCCACCGCAGTGTGTGCTTGAATAAAAGGGCATACTAATATTTGCAGAACTAATTAGGCTACCCATTCAATCTCCTATTTTTCAGTTTTCCACTTTTTTTTCGGTTCCCAGGATATTTTTCCATGAATATTTTACAGTCGTTTTCAACGAAACACAACGGTCTAGTGAATGGGAATTAGTGCACTTTTAAATTAGCCAAAACACACCCGAGTCTAGATAAAAATCTATAAATATATACACCTCCCTCCAAATTAAAGTCTGCACGAGCATATATAATTTGAGTTTGCAAACTGTACACCCAATAACCTGTCATATTGTTCAATGAGGTTATCGTAAATGGCGAATTTGCCTGCATAAGAAATTTTATGCTTTGATGACCACACAGTAATGTAAAAATGTTTATAACTGTCATATCTGCTTTGCAAACAAATTTGGAATCATACTTCGGATTATTTTCTTTGAAAATCCTACTACAAACCATAAAAGAGTGAACGTAAAACACCTATGCTACTATAAAGTAGCGATTAACTTTTTTGGAAATCATACTTACGTAATAGTTATTTCCT